AATGAACTCAGCAAGATTCCTGCTTCTTGTCTCCCAATAGGTTGCACGCCCAATTACGCGAGAATCATGAGAGAAGTGTATGCAAATGGCCACGGAAAAATCATCAAGTTTGTAGAAGGACGCTATGGTGACACCGTGCACCGCTTTTGCGCATCTAAAGGAAATGCACCGCCATTGTTGAGCTGTGAGCTGGTGAGTCCAAATGGTATTTGGTGGCGTGTTGAGATGGAAGAATGGGAACTGAAGAGTAGAACAGAAGCTACTAATCCTGACGATGCCCAAAGCCAACTGAAGTTGCTGCTTGATGAGTTGCGTGAAAATAATTTTGTCCATGGAGATTTGCGGCCACCCAATGTGTTTCTCCATGGCTCGCAAGAGAAGGTTGTTCTAATTGATTTTGACTGGGCAGGTGTTGCTGGTGTCGACATTTATCCTTATGGGATGAATCTGGAAATCAATTGGCCTAAAGGCGCACATGGAGGAGCCAAGTTGGATCTAGTTCATGATTTGGAATGGCTATATCGAATGTTTCCATCCGAATCAAAGTGTTGAATTTAACCTTTATTGTCCAAGCAACGCGTGCTGCTTTTGTTCTTCATGGCTCTCAGTCATAGCGTCGCAACCTTTGTGCATGACCTCTGAGATAAAATAGCTAATTTTGTTATGACGTGTAGCCAGACCGATATTATCAAGTCAATTTTGATCTACAGTAGTCAATTCACAATAACCGAGGACAAATGTGGCCATGTCAGTGAAACACAGAGGTTCGCCAAAAAAATGCCATATGGAAAAATCTTGAAAAGCTTGCACTTAAATTATTTTTTATAGTATCTATGAGCCGGTGGAACTGATTTGCGATCACGCTTTCACTTATTCTTACCGTTATCTACTTGAAATAAAGCACAGTCTTTCACAAAGGCTGAAGTGTCATAAATGACATGAATTGACCGATGTTGATTTGTACGAGCCAAAATGGGGCATGCCCGTGACTTCGTCCCGCTTTGAAGGCCGTCCGTTCTGCCGCACCTCATTACGATTCAACATCCTGAAAAAAAGATTGATGAGGGGTTGTTCTGTGTCAATATAGTTTATGCTACATTTGTGCAAGTAGTTGGCCGCCACCGCCGCCAAGCCACCTTGTGAAAATATGAAGTCAGAGACGTTGGGAAAGCAACAATAGCATTTATTCTTGTGGAATTTGCACTTAGGCCTTGATTCCCACAGAATGAAGATTTCGTCGGCACCATATACACACTTGTTTCATTGCAAGCAAAAAGTATATTCAGACACATCACTTGAGCGCCAGTCGCATGTATTAAATGTGGTTCTCTACATCAGATTTACCGTACTCTGTGTAATTATCGACGGGTATTTTGTCGAAAATCTTTTTTTACCCAGTCTTGTTGAGGTTTGAACAGCTGCCTCACCAGAGTCACTGGCGCGTTTGACGGTCCCTGTGGCATAATCAGCGCATCGCAAAGAAATTGATTGTTTTTGAGAAGCAATTGATGTTAATCATCAACCTAGTTCATAGCTCCAAACAAGATAGAACCGGCCATGCTGTTCTGCAGCAAGGAATGCAGCTTTCGCTGGAATAGTGGCTGCATTGAGTTTGATGTATACACGCACGATTCGTCACTTGCCGTTAGCCTGTCTGACACAAAACGTCGACGCTAAGATGGATGCTTCACTCTCTGACACCAGTCTTGCGTCATGCTTTGCATGGAAGAGAGTTTTTGAAGACGTCACACTGTTTCGTCGGCTACGGTTATTGCTACATAACGCAAAAAGTAGCTATTTCCATGACGTATTTCCGATCTATGGGTAACACGCTTTGTGAACATCTTTTCATCGCGTCGTAAAACTACTTCCACAACGGATAGATAGAATTCAGATAGAATTCATGAGACTACATGTCCGACTCATCGCCCTCAGTGTCCTGCGAGAGTCCTCAATGTCAAAATTCATCCATAATAGTTGAAGGGCTTTGCACTATTTTAAAGTAGCCGTGTCAATTTGGTAATATCGCTGTCTTACAAATCCTTGCACTAAAATATCACTCATGACAGATGATGAGCTTTACTCCTCCTTTGAAGAAGCAGCCGTACCATTTTTGTTACTTACTATCTTGCAAGTTCTCGTGCGTAAACCCATGGTATAACTGTTCTAGCTCTAGCTCTCTTCAATAAGACTATCTGCCGGAAAAATAAAGGGAGGCTATTCTCCGAACAACACCGGCCTTTCCATTCACAAATTACTCATCTTTCTCGCCACTTATTCGTGAAGCTGCACTGCTCTGTACGATAGAACCGTCATGCGGAAGTGCTGACTCAGCAGTACCGTCACATCGAGGAAAGGATGAGCCATCCTTCTTATCTCCAGGGCCCAGCCCTTCTGCTCGCAACTTCAGGTCGTTCTTCAGTTTCGCTGACTCTGGCACGGGAGATTGCACCATCCACCCGCTCCTACTCATCGCGGGCCAAGGCACAGAAGACAACGGCTCATAGTTGTTCTACACTGTTGTCGTCTATTTACTTTAAAGGATATACCATATGGATGGCTTTGTTTAAAAGGAACCTCTTGTCTTGTTCTGAGATCGCAGCTTAATGCTGCATCCACCTTTCACACCTTGCTGGAGGCACTTAACAATACCACTGCTAACAGTTCGGACAATTTCATGTCTGTTAATGAGCTTTTGCAGCTTCATGCCCACACCAAAAGCGCTGCTACTCCGGTCAGATGTGGGGCTATGACCCGCTGAACCTTCACCTCGAAAAGTACGTGGTACCATACCTTTACGACATCCAGTAGATCCGCGGCTCTTGGCGCTCCAGCCACATCATACCTTGGGATATGATCATATATCACAATTTAAGCTCAGAACTAGACAGCATTCACGCTGTCAAAGTCGTCAAATATATCAGAAGTATTAACCGAATCTCCGATATTCTTACCATTATCCTCATCGCAAGACCAACAGACATTGTATCCGTATTTGGCATCTCCAATGCCTCCGTATTTAGTATACCGTTTTTAAAAGGCGCGCGTTGTTTAAGATTGAAGGACGCTTCTGAATGCATCGGATCAATTCTTGTCCTCATTGGGCCCAGGTCGTCAACATCACAACCATCGAACGAACTTGGACTCTTAGTGCCGCTCTTTGAGAAAATGTCACTTTTTCTTATATGCTGGCTTCCATTTACCACGACTTTCACAAGGTGCAAAAGAATATACAGTCCCTCCTTGAAGTTTGCTAGCGACACATTTGTTAGACGCCAATGCGTGGAAACTCCACTTTAATTATTCAGTGGCAAGAGAAGGGAGCTTCATGGCGCCGATGTTTTTTACTTCCTTCAACAAATGTTTCATTTGCGAGAATCGCCAAGCTGTGAAAATTGCTCTTCCTGTTCAGCATGATTTTGGTTTCATCGACCTCGGCGTCATCGGAGATCTTATCACGGAGGTACTGCTAGTAATCTATGTGTACCCGGGACCTATCTACTACGAAGCTCCATCATCTTTGTGATTGTCGATATTTTCGTGCTTCATAAATGTTCAGAAGTAAGCAGAAATACAATGCGAGTTTTAAACAATTTGACGAAAGCGTAGTGTCATCGTTCAGTACGTGCAGCATTACAGTCTATCACCAATTTTGATATTTTGAGCGGCCTGGCGTTCTATCCATACATAAGTCTCTAAAATATTTAATTGTCCCACGGAAAAAGTTGTGTTGCATTCATGCAACGGGTCTAGTGTGTTTCTTACGACTCAATCGTCGATTTCAGATGCTTTCAAGTACAACGTATTTGTCGCACACCTTGTCCAAATCTGATGTATGTTAAAACAGGTGCTCAAAACTGTATTCGGTAGTTTGCACAATTGTAAAAAAATAATGTGTACTTAGGCAATAATTCGGTATGTATTGCATTTCGGAGCACCTCAAGCGAGTAGTTTCGTCCTAGTCCTGGACTCGAAATAATACGCCCATATTCAAATTCGCATGACTTGAACGCCATTAGTTACTACGAAAGTTGGGACCCGCACGTCGTTTAGAATTGAGCTCTGGCGTTTCATGAAGCTACCCCTACCAAAAAGCAGGCTTTCTTTGACGTGGTAAAATAGTTCTGGTGCAAAAGATGAAATCTGCCCAAATTGAATAAAAAGACTATTGGAAGGAAGAGGTGGCTGTGAGCTGCGGTCTTTACAGTATATATATACTGCGACAAGAATAAACGACGGTCCTAGAGGTACCTGAGATGGAAATTTAATAAAAGCAGTCAAGTGGTGCCACGCTTTAGCCGCAAGAGACTCTATGCCTCACATAGAAGGACCATGCCTTCAATTCATTAAAATTGACACAGGCTTGCCGTAATGTGTCGGCACTGCTAAATTTGGCGCTTTCGAGTGATGCTCTTATACGATAGGTTAATGGAGTTATATGGACTCGTACAGATGAGAACATACACCTGTTAGCGGAGTTATTTAGGTTGCTGTGAGCCTTGCATAGAAGGAGCTTTTCTCATAGTGTCTGCGTTTGGCGCAAGGAGCTCTGGTTTGTACGCCTCGAATCAAAGCAGAACCAAGAGCGTTTAACGTAGTAAATACAGAGTTGCTTCTACAATTTCATTGGGTAGCATGCATCCAGAGACCAATCAATATCTTTAAGTTGAGGCGAACAGCCCGCTTGTACCACGGATCTCTCCTCTTTAGATCCCCATCATCTGTTAATCAGCGATAATTTGCGTCCTTTCGTATACTTAAAATTAAATAATAGGTTGTGTGGATTCCATACAATTGTATAAAAGTGAAAAAGTCAACTGCAACAAATCATTTTCGGGAGTGATTGATGGGCAAGGGCTGCCAGCTTTTACGTGGAGCTTTAATGAATTCGCGAGAGCACCAGCAGTGTAATCGGCACCTAGTGGAGTGGATGTGGTACCTTCACTTTGAGCAAATGTGAAATTTTCAAGTCCCACTTTGGCATTACACTGTTGCCGTTGCTGCTCGTTAATCTGGGTTGTTACACTCAATAATGCAGCGGAAAGTTGCACTTCGCTGCGCACTTTCCACATATATTGTAATGCAACCTTGTTGCAAACCTAATAGCGGTTATAGGTGTCTCATGGCGATGCAGGGCTTATAACAACAAGAACTGAAGGTGCTGCCTCCATCAGCGTCGATGCATTGTACTTCGCAAGTTCAAGCATGCATGGTGACTCTAGTCAACATCTGCCTGTAAAGCCGGCCTTCAAATCGGTCGGGAGAGTAAGGTGATTCGAATTCATCATCCATTACGCGAATTGGGCGCGGTACGCTGCAGCACTCACCAGTATGTAATACTAAAGGTAAGATACTTATAAAGGACTCAAGTTTCCTCGACCGTTGCTGCTCAGAGCTACGACAATGTTTATGAGAAGCTGCAACGGGGTAGGGTCAATTACCTTTGTTTTACCCTCGATGTGTGTAGAAGTCCACACGTATATGCGTGCTAGGGTCCCACACAATGCGACAAGCAACTTTGGTTTGTTTCAAATCACGACATGATGAGACTG